TCAGCCTCCCCTCCCCCGGCTACAATGTGGGCTAACTTCATTGTTGCTCACTACATCCTGTGTCCGCATTTAAAGGGACGAAGTCATGGGAGTGCCTGCGACACCTCAACTGCTGAAAACCAGACATGTCCCAGCCCCACGGCCAAGGACATCTAGCAGTCCGATTGTTTAGTGGGGAACTTCGCCGCCCTATCAGGGAACGTTGCCCAAAGACCACCACGTGGAGGTATGGCCAAACCAACTGCCGCACCCGTACCAAGCATGCCATCACTCCAGACATACCCGACAGAGAAGTGCTACCGGGACTGTGCATGTCTATCTCCAGCACATGCGCAGCGGAAAGAGGAACTGCCTAACACGCCTATCATCCAGCACATGTGTGGCAGGTAAAGCATCTGGGGACCTTCACAATGCTTTTTTTGTAATTAAACAGTCGGATTCCTCTGGTCTGCACCAGTTCTACGTCAGCAGCTGGGCACCAGCCAAGCTTGCCAAGACCCCCTTAGTGGAGTCCAACTTCCTTGACCACCGTCCTGCTGTCTATATCAACCAACATCTTTTTTGGAATCTGATGATTGTCGGATCAGGCACCTTTACCCAGCATGCGGCTCATCCTGCACCACCAATTCTGCTTACCAAAAATGTCCCACGTGGTGGCTCATAATTCATTCCCGGCGCCAAGTCAGCAAGTCAGGCTTGTTACCCGTTTGAAGTTTGAGAATAGGTTGAGATTGTCTTCGTACCAAGACCTCTAAGCCGACCTAGAACTCTAAGCACCAGCTGTCCTGAGGCAAACATCAGAGGGAACTAGATACAAGATGGCTCGACTAGTCTTTCGCCCCTGTACCCAGGTCATGATAGTTTGAGTTAGTACAGTGTGGGTCATTGTGTGGCCTGAGTGGACAGCCGTGTTGTTTAACATTAATCATCTGAGTGAAACACAGGAAGGCAATTGTTTGACAGCCTTCTATTTGTCCGTGCATCACTGTCTTTACTTTTCTCCAGGAAACTGTCTCACCCTAAACTGGTGCAGCTTTACGGAGTGTGCAGTCAGCAGAAGCCCATTTATATCGTCACAGAGTTCATGGAGCTTGGCTGCCTGCTGAACTTCCTCAGGCAGCGGCGGGGCAGCCTCAGCCTGGGGTCCCTGCTGAGTATCTGCCTGGACGTCAGCGAGGGCATGGAGCACCTGGAGGCCAACGGCTTCATCCACAGAGATCTGGTAACTGCAGGTTACTCTGATTCTCCAGTCTGGGTTCTGCTTTTTCATCCTGACTGGATTTAGTTGCCACCTTTACACCACAGGAATGTTTTGTCTTATCCCCACATGAAGACATGATAAACTACACTGTGGCTAGTTTTCACAGCTACTTTGAATTGTATTGCTGCTTTTAGCTGCAAGATAGACTGAAGTTCATGGTTGCCAATCACGATCCATCCTAAAACAAAACGAAGCAGTATTAAGGTAAATCAACATGAAGTTCAGTGATGGAGGAATAGTTTCTCTTGTTTTAACGATCAGTTTAAGGCACAAACGACAACCCAGTTGCCAGAAGAAAATGTTGGTATTGCTTCTGCAGTGCACACGTATGTTACATTTGTGCGTTTCAAACGTATCACATCAACATCTCAAAAGTGACTGGCTACTCGTATATTTGCTAACTTTGTCATCCAGAGGACGAGGGGATGGCGGATGGCATGAGACCAAAGCAAGATGGCTGCCAAGCTGCAGACCTCTGTTCAAGACTGACAAACAAAAGATTTTTAAAGATACATTGCAGCATTTTGCTCGGTGCTTGTGGCACCAAAGCTGGGTGTTATTTTAAAAGACATCAATGCATTTCCAGTGGAGACAGGCACTAAAGCTGAGTTCTTTTTAGCAAGACACTGCAGAATTTCCAGCCATGATGGTGACACCAGGTGCAGGTGTTTTAACCTAAAACATGTTTTTTGTGCCTTAAACGTGCAATAATTTTCTGCCGCTAGGGGTCTCAAACTAAAACAATAACAGAAGACGGTGTTGGATGACATCACGAAGTAGCGTGGGATCATGGGAGTTGTAGTCATATAACAGATACAGATCTGATGTTCCTCACTCCTTGAAACCGAAACTGACCGTGGCAGTTTGTTTGGCAGAGCGAGCTTCAGCAGCAGAGAAATGCTCATGTTTACCGGGACAGCTTCGGTGTCAGAAGGTGCAGCAACCGTCAATGCATAATCATGATCCATGACGAGTTAGCTTAGCCTAGCAACAGTAATGTTCATTCTCTGACGTCTCATCCGGTCTTCTTCTTCTTCTTGTCCTTCATTTAATGGCTATGGTAACTGGAGTTATGTGTACATTAATACAGTTAGCAACTTTAGCCACTTTCTTGCATATGTGTGAAATTTTCACTTTGAAACAAGAGAGTCTACGGCCATGCTAGCAGCTCTTTGAGGGTGAACTTAGTCATATAGTTCTGGACTCAGTAGCTAACATGCTGATGTTAAGCAGGTATAATGTTTACCATGTCCACCATCTTAGTTTAGTGAGTTAATATGCTAACATCTGCTAACTAGCACTAAATAGATTGGACAGCTGAGGCTGATGGGAATGTGATTAGTTCTGGAGGTATTTGGTCATAAATCAAAGTATTGCACAAATTTAAATGTTGACCTGATGATAGCAATAGAAGAAAAGTCAGGATTGCTAAAACTATTATCATTCATACACGATCATTAATGTGTTTACCAAATTTCAGATTAATCAATAAAATAGTTAAATATAGTTAAGTAAATATATTTGGCTTAAAAAACAAAGCAAATTTAGTACCGCCCACTACAGGTAGACTTTGTGTCTTTGACCCACGATATCGATATCATCATTTTTCTGTTTCTTCATCTTCTCTGCAGGCTGCCAGAAACTGTCTGGTGAACGACTCTCTGGTGGTGAAGGTGTCTGACTTCGGCATGGCCAGGTACAAATTTAATCCCAGCTCTTTCACATGTTTAAAGAAGTCAGCAGGTGGAAAAGTTGCATGGAAATATTGATGTGTATTTTGCAGATACGTGTTAGACGACCAGTACACCAGCTCATCAGGAGCTAAATTTCCAGTGAAGTGGTCGCCTCCTGAAGTCTTTAACTTCTGCAAATACAGCAGCAAGTCGGACATCTGGTCCTACGGTACGCACACTGTAGCATCACACATAGTATCACATCTCTCTTTTTATATATTTTAACTATTAACTAACTACACATTAACATTTCCACATAACATTCCCGGATCTTATTAAACCTCTGTTGTTGGTGTGTATCCAGGTGTGTTGATGTGGGAGGTTTTCACTGAGGGTCGCATGCCCTTTGAACAGAGTCAGAACCATGAGGTGGTTACCTTGGTAACCAAGGGTCACCGCCTCTACAGGCCCAAAATGGCCACGCCCACCATCTATGACATCATGCAGCTCTGTTGGCACGAGGTGAGAACCATGAGAAACAATCTGTTTCACAGCATACTGTATGAAGTACCATTTATTATGGTACTCAAACTGTTTGTTGGTCATAACAATACAAACTTTATTTTTAATCCACGGCTTGTGCTCATTTAGCATCCACGAGAATCTGAATGGAATAAATTCATGACTGTTCAGTAATGGTGGGGGTGTGATCAGTTCGACAGCTCCCTTTCAGCTAAAGCAACTTCACCGTTTTATTTTCACTAGCATTTAAATGTTTTGCCGCCACTTAAATTTATCACATTTACACATTAATCACAACGTGTTAAAGTTCTGAACATCACGCATTGTCTTTTAAAATCACGTGCCGTTTTTGCCACCGCCCGTCTTTCAGACGCTATAGATGGCTGAGTTTTAAAGCAAGTTTCTCAGGAAGGTGGCTAAATAACGCTCCAAAGTTCGGCATGGCCATTTCACAGAGGTCCCTTGACGCTTGTAAATTTGATCGGCGGCCGATGGACAGGTGCATCTCTAGTGTACGCCATATTTTAAAACTGATTTGACATTTGCCAAAATGGAGGTGATCACAAGCAGCAGATGTCGGTCTCCACATCTGACGGGAACTCAAAGACAACCCTCTGCTGCACTTCTAAAGGTCACATTCAGGAGGAGCTGAATTTGCAGCCTGTGTTCTCTCTTTGTGTTTCAGAGGCCGGAGGAGCGCCCGTCATTCTCTCAGCTCTGCCTGATGATCTCCGACACTCTGGAGAGTGACACCCCTCCCCCAGTCTGATCAACTAACCAATCAGCTGCTTCCACCATCCCCACGACATCTGTGGCGGCCATGTTGGCCCCTAACCCCTGCTCCATGGTAACCACCCTGCTGTTCCTCAGGGTGTAACGGCAGTAACTGTCTTGAACAGCAGAGGAGAAAGGGCATCAATATGGAGAACATGTAATGGTACTCAGTGTCTGGAACTCACCAATCAGATGGAGAGGATGGACCAATCACACCAGCCATTTGTTTACCCAGTCAAGACGCCGGTACAGCTCACAACCCTGACCTAAAACTGAAGCTATGTCTGTTTTTAGGACGAGTGTCTGACACCAACATGAACTGACAGCTACGTAGAAAACAGGTTCTCATGATGGACGCATCAGCTCAGTAAATTTCGAGTGAATGTTTCTCTTTTGTCCTACCTGTCTGTGGGTCGGCCTCAGTGTTTCCTCCCAGTCGGACATCAAGTCCTTCGGTCAGAGATCTGTCAGTTCAAAAAAATGTACAAAGCCACAAGACAAGCTTCATCTTCCTTCCAGTAAGGACTCAGCTGTGTGTTTTGTTCCTTCAACATTTATGAAATGACGTCTTTGTTGTGTTTTATTCCATAATTTTCTGACAAATTTAAGCTGCAGTGCAAATCTGTTTTCATGTAATTACCGTCACATCCTGCACATCAATATTAAAAGTAATGTAAAGAGAAAGTAAATGATTTGGGTGTCATCATCATCAGTGTCAAAAAAAGAACAGTCAGTTTCATTGAACGTTACCTTTGAGGCACAAATCAAGAGTCTACAGCCACGCAAGCAGCTCTGAGGATCTGAATGTATACATATAGGTTAACTAAGAGTCAAAGTAAGTGTTCGCAGATCCTCTTCTCCACCATCATAAACTGCTGAGGGTGCAGCAGAATTCACACTTCCTCCATATGTCTATTTGATATATGAGGAAGTCCATCTGGTTTCCACTTCTGTCGAAAAATCAACACACCGTTTAGATGATTTCTGGGAATCCTGAGCATAAGATGGTAAGTTTATTCCCCTGTTTACGTCACTTTTATTCAGTTTAGGAGTTTCGTTCCTACGTTTGACATTGAAATTTACATTGGAAGCACTTATTTCTATTTAAATGAACTAAACCTTTTTCTTTTTTTTGCAATTTAATGTGTGTTTCTTGAAATTTTGAATATTGACGAAGCTATGATGTCACACTTAACAGTTCTTGCCATATGTTTTCTTGTTAAAAAACAGATACAGCCGTGATCTGTGGGTCCTTGCGGCTTGATTTTTAAGTGTACTTGAAAATGTCTTCATTAATAATGTTTTCAAGAAAGACAAAAAGTGTATTTTAGTCCAGCTGTTGGCCTCTTGTGACTCCTATTAATTTGGACATACTTGAAGTAAACTCAAATATAAAAACAAAATATGGAAGTGGCTACCCAAATATTTCACTTATTACTGTAGACTGTCTAAAACAAAAAAAATAGATACACTACTGCCAAGATACAGCAATAGATTGTTATTAATAATAATTAGACAGCGATACATTTTTAGCTGGTGACAACTTGGCCGGCTGATATGACAACTGTCACTAGCATTGAAGATTTAGGAATTTAGGGAACTTTGGTTCAAGGACTTGTTCAGCAGTGTGTCTGTTAGGACAGATGAACACATGCAAGCTCCATTTCAGTCTTTTATTTGGAGGCAGTTTGAGCTGACAACATTAGAAAAGAATAAAGAAAATTAAACTGGGCATCATGATTCCTGATTTGAAATAATTAATAATCCATCACAGGTAATTTAACTTCAAACACAACAGCTATATACCCAAGAATCAGTAAATAACTTCACTGAAACTTAATCAACCCAACAACTAACGATCTTCTAATGATACTCTAAATACATTTAAAGAAACTCACACATCGTGTACTCGGTTCAAACAATTTGAAGGGAGAATGAGGGTGGGCCACATGCTCCTTTGTTCTCCAGGGGAAAAGGACTTTCCCCCTGTGAGCTGTGGCTACATCTCTCTCTGAGCTTCGCCCAGTCAGGAAGAGGGAGGCAGGTAGGAGTGGTTGGGGTTTTTTCCATACAAGTAGACGACAGGTAGAGGGGTACTTGAGGATGACGTTCTGTCGTCTCATTAAGCTACTTGTTAGCAACCAAGTTTTTAAGATACATAAAAGCTTCAGAATTCACAACTGAGGTATTTACTGTATTTTATGTCGTCGAGACGTGAAAGACTCTTCTGCTTGTGTTAATCACAGACCTCATTTCAGACATCTAACCACAAAAGAACAATGACTTTGGGACGAGGGAACCAGGAGGGCAAAAATGTGAAATCATTTCCTGATTTTAGGACTTATTCCTGAGGCATACCATCAAGCAGCAGCATATAAACTTACCTGTAAATATCACTTTGGTTCGTTCAGATGCTGGTGTGGTTCTTATTCTTTAGCACCACTGCTAACAACACACAGTCTATCCATGAGGTGTAAACTCGAGCCAACACAGACATGCCTCTTCATATCTCAATGTCCATTTAATTTCTGTTTTCTTTGATCTTTCATAATAATGTTGCCGTAAATGATAGACGGGAGAATGTTAGCAGTGTAGACTAGCAACAACGCACTGCTAGGCAATACCCATAGATGCCTGGCATTCACACCAACATGCATCTCTAAGACCGGGCTTAGTTAAGACTAGACTTAAGTTCGGTTGTCTACTTAGCAATCAGGACCAGACTTAGTTAAGATCAGTTGGTGCGACCTGCTCATATCGATCAAGCTCTGGGATAGCAAGAGAACTGGAATGTTTGATGATTGTTTTGGTTCTCTCTTCTGACAAAATGACACAGTCCTGGACGATGACGCCACCGAAGACATGGTGTCTCCTGCCCCTCGCTGTCCTCCTCTTCCTGTCCATCTTTCTCACAGTGGCTGAAGTGGTAAAGTCCGTGTCGGACTGCGACCAGTTTTTCCTTGAGGAAACTCCACCACAGGTCCCAGGCATCTTGGAGGGCGGAAGAATCCTGAACCAGAACCGATACAAACCCATTTGCCAGACTTTTGAGAACGAGAGAAGGTTTGTGACGCTCTACGACATCAAGAACAAGATCCCAGTGTTTTCTGCTTACAAGTACAGAGGGGGAGTGGGAAACAGACCCTCGAATGACTGGAAGATAGAGCCTCAGGTGTGTTCTTACTGACTAATAAAAGATTAAATTCATAAATATATGTTACTTTTGTATTTTGCTGCTAGTACATCCATATCCAAAGTTCTACTACTATTGGCCACTATAAATCAAGCTGGATTCTACAGACACATCCACATCAATAGTAGTATTATTGGGATTTCACAAGAACTTTCACAACCCTTTCATATACGGGACACATGTAGGACGCTGGTCTACTGAGCGCTTGTTTAACTCACATTGGACCCATTTATATTAGACATCCAACACAGGTTAATTAAACTATGGAAACTATCTATTTTCTCTGTGGCACTCTGCCCAAAACCCACTGATTCCTACAGAAGATGTAAATCTTTAAAAACAAAAATTGAGAAACTGTGTCAGACTGATCAAAGTATTATTCAACTAGTTCTTCCTGACCTTGTTACGAAATAAGACAAAGCAGAGCCTTTCTGCGGAGCTTTATCTATGTGCTAACTAAATTACTGATTACTGTGTGTTGTATTTACTTAATTGCTGCTCTCCCTGCATCAGTAACATAGACTCAAACTCTTACAGCTTGAGGAGGAAGGAGAAGACGAGAACATGATGCTTGTGGACAAAAATAAGACCTACATCCACCAGGCTGGGAACATTGATTACAGACGCAATGGTGTGTTTGACAGGGGCCATTTATTTCCAAGCTCCCATGCGTTCAACAGATCTGACAAAAAGTCTACCTTCACCCTGACAAACATCGTTCCACAAGCCGCCAGATTCAACCAGGGAAGCTGGAACAAAATGGAGATGTGCATCAAATGTGTGATGGACAAATACTGCAGAAACAGCAATAATATTACTGAAGGCTTTGTAGTAACTGGAGCGCAACCCAGCAACAACATCATCCTCAAAAACAGGATTAATATCCCCTCCATGCTCTGGTCAGCATTCTGCTGCTACAGCTCCAACATGCACACGTGGTTAGCAAGTGCACACTGGGGCGACAATGTTACGCCTAAAAACAAATATTTGGAGACCGAAACTCTGGAAGAACTCCATCAAGAACTGAGGACAGCGGACTCTGAATTTAAAGTGTTTCCTGGGACACAGTGTCCTCTCAACACAACTGTCACTGAGTTTTACCCAGGAATCAAGGACTGCCAATGCCCACACTCCACTTCACCCACCACTGCATCTCCCAACTCAACATCTGGCACTCCCAATTCAACATCTGCCATTCTCACATCATCTGGCAATCTCACTTCAATATCTGCCACTCTCACATCAACATCTGACCCTCCTACATTAACATATGTCTCTCTTTCATCTACATCTGCCCCTCCTACATCAACATCTGTCCCTCCCACATCTACATCTGTATCTCCTACATCAACATCTGCCCCTCCTACATCAACATATGTCTCTCTTTCATCAACATCTGTCCCTCCTACATCAACATTTGTCCCTCTTACATCAACATCTGTCCCTCCCACATCAACATCTGTCCCTCCCACATCAACATCTGACCCTCCCACATCTACATCTGTATCTCCTACAACATCTGACCCTCCTACATCTACATCTGCCCCTCCTACGTCAACATCTGTCCTTCCTACATCTACATCTGCCCCTCCTACATCTACATCTGCCCCTCATACGTCAACATCTGTCCTTCCTACATCAACATCTGCCCCTCCTACATCAACATTTGTCCCTCCTACATCAACATCTGTCCCTCCTTTATCAACATCTGCCCCTCCTACATCTACATCTGCCCCTACTTTATCAACATCTGTCCCTCCTACATCTACATCTGCCCCTCCTACATCAACATTTGTCCCTCCTTCATCAACATCTGTCCCTCCTACATCAACATCTGTCCCTCCTACATCAACATCTGTCCCTCCTTCATCAACATCTGTACCGCCATCAACATCTGTCCCTCGAACATCAACATCTGCCCCTCCTACATCAACATCTGGCCCAGTCACACCTACAGTTGGCACTCCCACTTTAACATCTGGCCGACATTGACATCTAGCACACCTGCATCTACACCTGGCCATCCCACATCCACTTCTGTCCCTCTTACTGCCACATCTGGTTTTTTCAACCCAACATTATATCTAGCCCCCCTATATCAACATCTAGTTAAACTGTGTAACTGTAACCATATGCTAACCTGTTCAGTGTAAATCAGTGTAATATCCAACTGGTTAGAATCCATCTGTCCTTCGTTTAATTTTTTTTAGTCCACTGAAGTCTATAATGGACTCATTTACTGCGACCCCAGAGCACCACCTACTGTCCTTATTGTATATTTCACTTTTTTATTAAACAGTACTAATGACAAAGCTGTTGTTCAATACTGTGAATGGACAATTGTGTCTGTAATGTCTTATCTTGAGTGCTGAAATGAATCAAATGTGGCAGCCACAGACCTGTTTTAACAATTCTGTCATAAAATGTGTTGTCATATAGTCGGACCACCGGGGTGTAGGTGGGTTAAAAGTCCAAAAGGTGTTTGTTTCAGTCTGGAAACTCCCGGTGTGATTAGAGATAAATAACCTCTTTGTGGAAAAACAAAACCACCCAAAATCTGGATTTATCTTACCTCCACTTATCAAGAGCGACTGAGAGGACCTGTTCTTTATCAGCAAGCAACACGGGCACAGCGCCGGCCCTTGAGAGAAGACCTCAGTCTATTTCAAAGTAAAAGTCTGTGAAGCTCAGGGGAGATCGTGCTTTTTCAACTGTAGCCCCAAAACTCTTGGATTGAGTTGCCTCTTCATGTGAGGCTGGCCCCTATGCTGCTTGTTTTTAAAACCCATCTTAAAACACATTTTCATTCTCTGCCTTTAAACTCACAATGAACATTAACTTTCTGTTTTTTAATGTGCCTTATAAATATATTTAGACTGGATTGCATTTGATACACACGGAAACACAAAGCAGGCTTTTTAAAATCTTTCCACTTTGGAAACAATATTTTAGTGGGGCTTAGCTTTTGGGGTGAGAAAACACAGCTTTATTCTGGACTGTGTTTTAAAACTGATTGAAAAAGATGCGTTTTAAAATTTAACCGACCGAATGTGAAACTGTTGACATGATGACATCACACAGTTGCACATCCATGCTTCCATCTGAATGTGGTTTTTCCAATCTTCTATTGTCCAGTTTTGGTGAGAAAACCCATGTGAATTGTAGCCTCAGTTTCCTGTTGTTAGCTGACAGGAGTGGCACCTGGTGTGGTCTTCTGCTGCTGTAGCCCATCTGCTTCAAGGTTGGACAAGGTGTTGTTGCTTCAGAGATGGTCTTCTGCACACCTTGGTTGGAACCAGTGCTTATTTGACTTCCTGTTGCCTTTCTATCATCTTGAACCAGTCTGGCCATTCTCCTCTGACCTCTGGCATCAACAAGGCATTTTGGCTCACTGGATATTTTCTCTTTTTGGGACCATCCTCTGTAAACCCTAGAGATGGTTGTGCTGAAAATCCCAGTAAATACTCAGAGCAGCCCGTCTGGCACCAACAACCATGCCACGTTCAAAGTCACTTAAATCACCTTTCTTCATCATTCTGATGCTCAGTTTGAACTTCAGCAGCTCATCTTCACCATGTCTACATGACTAAATGCATTGAGCTGCTGCCACGTGATTGGCTGATTAGCTATTTGCATTAACAACAGTTGAACAGGTGTACCTAATAAAGTGGCAGGTTAGTGTGATTATCCTTTAACATACAAAAAACGACCTCAGTTTAACTTTCTTATCAGTGAATATTGCTCATGCTTGTCAATGATCCGTGAGTCTTATGGCGCCTGCAGCAAAAAGAATGTGATAAAATTTTTATGCACCACATGACCTCGACTAACTCCCAGCGCTGGCGTCAGATGACACAATGACATCTAAACTCTTTCAAAACTGTCGCTTTCTCAAAGAAAAAAAACCTGACCTCCTCACGTGTCGTGTGCATGAGAGCTAATCAATAAACCCGCCCCAGGTCTTCAGTAATCCTACCATGGAATCTTCGCTGGGAATTTTATCATATAAAGGAAGTAGAGATGGCATATCTCTGAGTGTTTAAAGGGCAGCGGGCCATTTCAGTGCTGATCAGTTCAGACCGGAGCTTCTCAAACCTGCTGCAGAGGAATCGACTGACTGCACCGACAGCACAGCAAAGAGTGAGTATTAATTATTATATGTGCAGTGTATGTAATGTGATGTGTTATAATGAGTGCATTTTATCAGGCTGATCAGAGTTTAAACATGAATATGGCTATAATATTACTTTTTTATATTATATAAAACTATATTCAAGTGGTCATACCTTTTGGAAACAAAAGTATGGAAGCTAAAGTGTGCCAATAAAATAATGTGATAATAATGATAAACCTAATGCATTCAAAAACCTTAACAGAAAAAATTTACCTTTCAATAATTTAATAAAAATACCCAAAGCACGGAAAGCATTTCATTATTCTGTCTTTCAAATTACAATTAACTTTGAAAAAATAATTTCAAGGAGCCTTTTAAAAATGTAACATTATTTTACTTTTAAATGTCTTCCTATTAAAATCCTTCTCACAATTCATTTTCTTTCTTACGTATACATTTTCTGTGTTTCATCCACATTTAATTAAAGGCAAGGCAAGGCAAGTTTATTTGTAGAGCACAATTCGTACACAAAGTAATTCAAAGTGCTTTACAGAACAAGAAAATGCATTAAAATCACAATACAAAATAAAAACATAAATAATCATTATAAAATGAACTTTAAAAGAGAAGAGTGCAGATAAGATCCTTTCAGTCATATGCAGTGAAATAGAGCTGTTTTGAGCCTAGATTTGAACATTGTCAGAGTAGAGGCCTGTCTCACATCTTCAGAAAGACTGTTCCAGATTTTAGCTGCATAAAACTGGAATCCTGATTCCCCATGTTTAGTCCTGACTCTGGGCACCAGCAGGAGGCCGGTCCCTGAGTTCCTCAGAGTCCGAGATGGTTCATATGGCACTAACATGTCAGAGATGTACTTTGGTGCTAGGCCGTGGAGAGACTTGTACACAAGCAGAGCTGCTTTAAAGTCTATTCTCTGAGCCACAGGAAGCCAGTGTAGAGACCTGAGCACAGGACTAATGTGCTCGTACTTCCTGGTTCTGGTCAGGACCCGAGCAGCAGCATTCTGGATGTACTGCAGCTGTCTTACGGTCCGTTTGGAGAGGCCAGTGAGCAGGCCGTTACAGTAGTCTAACCTACTAGAGACAAATGCATGGATCAGTCTCTCCTAGTCAGGTTTAGACACTATACCTTTGATTTTGGCAATGTTTTTTAGATGGTAAAAAGCTGCTGATGTTATTGATTTGATGTGGCTGTTAAAGTTCAAGTCTGAGTCCATTATTACCCCGAGATTTCTAACCTGATTTGTAGGTTTTAGAGAGAGAGACTGGAGGTGACTGCTGACACTTTCTCTTTGTTTCTGTGGACCAAATACAATGACTTCAGTCTTGTATGAATTTAGCTGGAGAAAGTTGTTTTGCATCCACACCCTGACCTGTTGGATGCAGTGACAGAGTGAATCCACTGGTCCATATTCACCTGCTGTCAGTGTGACATAGATCTGAGTGTCATCTGCATAATTGTGGTAGGACACATTATTACTTTGTATTAACTGGCCTAAAGGCAGCATGTAGAGATTGAACATTAAAAAATGTGCAATTTTATTTTACGGAAATAAAGTCAGATTTTGACACTAAAAATTATGAATGACCGATTTCCAGTCCAGCATGCACAATACATAATTCTACTCTACTGAGAGCATAAAGTTAGAAGAAGAATATCATTATTATCGTCTACAATAATAAGAAATTACCATCAAATCCAGCAACATAAATTACAAAATTTTAACACCTGAGAACTCAAAGCAGCATTCTATACTGAAGACATGAGGTGTTTGAAAGTGCACATGCAGTCTAAAAATCTGTCTACTGAAAATCTTAACTAATCCATCTTATCAGAGATAACTGATAACAACAGTATGTAGACTAGCAGGAAATTGGGTTAAGTGAAAATAAATACCTGACACCTAACTGCCGTAACAAGAAACTCAACCAGAGATGAAACGATAAATAAATAACTCGACAGACACCCTTACTAACACTGTGGTGTTAGTAAGGGTGCTTTCAGACCTGGAGTTGTCTTGCTTTGGTCTGAATCAGGGACTCATGTTGTCAGAAAGTTGTATAATTGCCTAGAGTTGGTTCGTGTTCTCACGGCAGCATTTACAAGCGGGCCAGATCA